GACAGATATTGCATCACATTCTCTCAGCGAAGGACAGATATAAAATTGCTCATGTGGAATCTTTGTGGCATGGTCTTTTTGTGAAGGACAGTGCTTACTCCACAGAGTGTGGGGTTTCAGGGTTCTGATTTTAAAGGGTCTTCACGTAGCTACGTCATTGTTGCCACATTTAGTATCGACTCAGCATCTGGAGCCTGTCAGACCTCTCCAGCCTCCTCCCCTGATTTCTGATTTCTTCAAGGGCTTTAGTGACGCTGAATTGCTGGTGGTTCCATGCTTAGAATCACTGGTTTCCCCTCTTTTCTTTTACTCTTATCCTTTGACCGGAGAACTCCCATGCCTGTTTCAGGCTCAGTTCTGTATTATCCCTTCAGGAAGTCCTCTGTCACCTAAGCACCTGTTCTGGGACCTCACCCACACTGCACACACTGCATTATATCATCTTATGCTGATGGGCTCTCAGAAATATTTTTACTAGGATGAACCCAACTGCTCACCTTCTTCATGCCTCACTAGAGACAGTCTCACAAGGCCCAGTGGAGGTCCTAATAAACTCCTACTTACTTCTCAGCCAGAAAGCCCTGTCCCCACTGTTTGTAATGATTCCTTCTTTCATGCTTCTCTTTATTCACACTTTTCTTTGCACCCCAGATCTTGATAACTGACCTTGCCTTGTACGGGAAAAAATAACTCTCTGGTAGCAAATCCCTCAGCTTCTGTTCATGAAATCTACACACCCATTTGTTTGAGCTATTGCTTGCTCCTTGCATCCTGTCTCCACCCCCACTGGTGACTTTGGACCATCTTTTCTGGATTCTTAACAGAGGAACAGAGATGTGCTTTCATCTTTTTTATTCACTTCTTTGGCTGTGCCACGTCCTAGTTGTAGCATATGGAGCTTTCGCTCTTCATTGTGACATGCAGGATCTAGTTCCCTGACCAGAGATTGAACCCAGGCCTTCTGCTTTGGGAGTTCAGCCTCTTAACCTCTGCACCACCAGAGAAGCCCCTGCTTTCATCTTTAAAATGTTGATCTTACTAAGAAAACAAACAAACACGCCTTTACTTTATGTCGTGTTCCCTTTCAGCCATCCTCCTCTCTCATCTCTATGCTTCGTGGCCATCCTTGTGAAGAAGGGGTGTTCCCACAGATGTCCTCGCTTCTTAATTATAAACCAGCTCCAGTCTGGCCTTTTCTCTCTCCTTGCCTTGGGTATTGCTAAGACCTTGTTGCTTATTTAATTTCTCTGTGGCTCACACAGTTAAAACCCTGTCTTCATCATCAGTACCCCAGTAGCTTCTTTCCAGTGTCCGTTGTCGTCTCCTCCTATTTGTCCCTTTCTAAGCATCCTAAGTGCCTAGTCTGAGACCTCTTGTTTCTATTCCCTACCACATCCTGCTTCAGTTCTGTGGCTTCCAATACCACCTGCGTGTAAATGACTCTTGCCAGATGTATGTTTTTGATCTAGATGTCTTTCCTGGACTTTTACCAATGTCTCTGGCAGCCTCTTTTACTCATCTTTTGATTGTCTCTCAGCATCTCCAGTGTAACATAACCCTGTAGTGCTTCCTCCCAGTTGCCTTTCCTCAGAAGTTTCCTATTTAAATAAATGAATGAATAATATTGTTGTCCATTCAGTTGCTCATGGCAGAAATCTGAGAGTCATCCTGGAAACCCCTACCTTTTCCACGTTCAGTCCATCACCAGTTACTTTAATTCTGCCTGTAAATATCTCTGCAGTCTATCTACTTCTCTCTAGTTTTGTTGTCACTGCCTTCAAGCCATCATCATCTCTTGTCTGTGTTGTTCTGAAAGCTTTGTAACAAATCTTTCTCCTTCCAGTTTTCCTCACCTCTAATCTCTTTTTCTCAAGAGAGCCAGAACGAGCCGGAATCTGGTGATGAAGACTTCACTCTCCAATGCTGGTGTTTTGGGTTCGATCACTTGTTGGGGAGCTAAGATCTCACAAGCCTTGTGGCCAAAAAACCTAAACATAAAACAGAAGCAATATTGTAAAAAATTCAATGAAGACTTTAAAAGTGGTCCATATTAAAAAAAAAAAACAAAAACAAAACTTAAATCGGAGTCATCTCTGAAAGACCATTGTAATAATTCTGAGATTAAGGCCCTTTAGTGGGTTTCTGTTACTCCCAAAATAAAATAACCCTTTCCCTGGACCCACAGGCACTGCTTGTTCTGGTCCCCCGCCTTCTCTCATCTCTCTGTTCGCTTGATTGTTCTCTGTGCTTCAGCCTCACTGGTCCTTTGCCGTTTCCTGTAATCTTCGCCTCAGTCCTTTGCCTCTGCTTGCTTCAGGCTGCAGTTCCAACCTTGTTCTTTGCACTACTAATTCCGTCTCATCATTCAGAGCTCAAGCTTAAATATCACTTCTTTGAGGAAGCCGTCCCAGAGCTCATTTCTCCCTCTATCTCCTCTAATAGATTTGTCAAGCATAGCCCTACTTTCCTCTGTTAGAAGGAGTTACTGGAGTTCTTTCTGCACATTTGCTCATGTGTTCATGTGTCCACTGTCTGTCTCTCTAAGCAGACAGTAAGTTCCACAAGGGCAGGGGCTGCACCTGGGCTATGTTGTTCACAGTTGTGTCTTCAATACGTGGTACTTGGCACTGAGTGCTCAGCACATATGTGTCTCATGAGACAGTTTATTGATAGGGCAGCTTGGGATGGGGAAGTGCCCATTTGGTACTTGTGTTGCAGTATTGTATGGTAGTTAAGGCTAGGCTAGGCTCATGCTTGCTTGATTTTGCATCCTTGTTCCTCTATGAACTTGAGCAGTTATGAGCCCCTGTGATCCCAGCATGGAATTCTGGGCTGATTTCTTTCTTGAGTTGACCAAACCTCCAAGGATGACGTATCATATCTGGGTTTACGTGGGACCACTAGTAGGCTAGGTCCAGATGTGAAAGCCTAGGAGATGGTATTTGTGCTAAGAGAAGGAGCCTTAAATTATTTTGAGATGGGACTTCCCTGGTCGTCCAGTGGCTAAGATTCCGTGCTCCCATGCTGGGTCTGGGGTTTGATCCCTGGTCAGGGAACTAGACCCCAGCTAAGAGTTCATGTGGTACAACTAAAAGCCAGCTCAGCCAAATAACTCAGTGAATGAGTGAATGATTTTTGAGACGTTGTATGTCGGTTGAATCACCTTGAAAATGTATGGCAGAGCCTCTGATCTGCTCTCCCAGTGGACTTGGGGCCTTCCGTATTGTTTAGTGCCGTCAGGGCTCCTGGCACGACCTGCCCTGTCCATGTTCTGCTCTTTGGTTTGGTCTTGTTGCGGGTCACATGGCCTACATTGTGGACAGGATGAGATTATCGTGTCCTGAAGATGATCCCTTTCCCTTGACTTGGGATTGCTCTTAGTTCTGTCTGTTGCCTCAGCTCTTCAACACCTAATTAACAAATTGTCAGAGTGGGAGTGAGTGGAACCCAGTGGCTGGCCTGGGGAAGAGAGTTCAAAGCAAGCTCTGGGCATCTTGAGTGTGGACAAGATCATTTTTTTTGAGGATTTTCCAGGGGGCTTCCCTAGTGGTTCAGACGGTAAAAAACCCACCTGCAATGCAGAAGATCTGGGTTCGAGCCCTGGGTCAGGAAGATCCCCCAGAGAAGGGAATGGCAACCCACTCCAGTATTCTTGTCTTTCTTGATTCCATATTTAAGTAATGTGTGGATTCTGGATGAATGGTCCCTGGGAGAGACCCTTACATAATGAAACAATGCAGAGGAGCCTAGGGGGTTAAATGAAGATTGCTTTCCTATTCTAAGTCACTTATTTTTTTCTGTAATCTTAAATTTGGATTTCTGGGGACCTTTTTTGTAATAAGAGGGGTGGTACGTTGTTGTTAAGTGTCTTGAGGTTCTACTGAGATTCTATTCTGGACCTGTTTGAAATGGTGAGAACACTACTCACCAGCATATTGTGGTTAAATACATTCTCCTTAGGTAAATATTCCCTTGTGCATTTTCAGCATTGTTGTAGATTGAAATTAAAAAAATTGAAGTATGGTTTATGTACAGTGATATTATATGTTACAGGTGTATAATATAGTAATTTAAAATTTTAAGGTTAAATTTCCTTTATAGTTATTAGAAAGTACTGACTGTATTCCCCCATTTTGTATAACATATCCTTACAGCTTATTTTAAACCTAATAGTTTGTACCTCTTAGTTCTCTACCCTTTTGTTGCCCCTACCCCTTGACCTCGCCCCACTGGTAACCCCTGGTTTGTTCTTTATATCTGTGAGTCTGCTTTTTTTTGGTTTTATTCACTAGTTTATTGTCTTTTTTGATTCCACATATAACTTGTGTGTAGATTCTGTATTAAAATGACAAGCCCCAAATCAGCCAGTATAAGAATGAGTGAGGTTGTGGGTGGCATTTGCGTGTGGTTCCTGTCACGGTGACCTTGCCATCTCCCCTAATATTTGGACGACTGACTGTCCTGAGCTCAAAGTGACTCTGTTTTGCTGGCACAGCCTAAATCCTTATGAGAAATTTTCAGTGATGAAGGGCAGTCTGAGTACATTTAAACTTGTAGCCACAAACCTAGCCCTCTGTGTAATGTAGTCTGATCACTAATAAAAGAACGTCATTGACTTTTAAATTTCTGAGCAGAGGGATTAAAAAAAAAACCAACAAACCCTCAAACAGAAGTGTTCTGTTAATGAATGTGATAGACCCCTTTGTTGTTTGAAGCCAACCCTCTTGCTGTGCCTCTGAAGAAAGGGCTGTGTTGGGGTTGGGTTGCACATTTCCCTGGCGCTTTGCCCCACCTCCTCTTCCCTGAAAACATTTATGGAGATCTGGTGTGTTAATAAATTTAGCAGTGATTTAATGGCTGCATTGGCAGGGAGAGATAAAGCTGTTCAGTGCGCTGTTCGTTTTGTTTCTGGGTGGGGTGGAAGAGGGGAATGGAAAGCTCACTTTTTCCCTTTTGGAAACCTAATGCTCTGCTCTTTTGTTATCGCTCTTGTTCTCCAGGCATTAAGTGTCACCGAAACCCTGATTAAACCCTTGGAAAAATTCAGAAAAGAGCAACTCGGAGCTGTCAAGGTCGGTGTCTAATCTGAGCGCACTTGTAAACAGCCAGCGTAGACACCTCTGCCGCTGGAGCACACACTCACTTCCCACTTAACAGCCTGGAAGGGGCTGTTGGAGACCAGTGCCTGTTGTTTCATGTTTCAAATGTGTTGTATCCCCTTTGGGGGAATCTGAAAGCGGAAACAAAAACCACCCGGACTGGACGGTAAAACCTCTCGTGCTCGTCTTTGGCTGCACCTTCTCGTATAGGGTTTTAAAAATATCTTTCACCAAACAGCACATCTACCCTGTGCCAAGCATCTTATCTCTGTCAAGAGGGCACTGATTTCCGTGTCCGCCTTAGTTGGGTGTCAAAGTGTAGCATCATACGAGATTAAGGTTAGAAGTGCTGCTACACCGGCATGCGATTGAAACTAGAAAGAGAGGACTCGGTTATTGTGCTATACTTCCTTCCGTTTAATGCACGTTTCTTACACTTCTGTTACGTGCTAGTGTTGCTGTGGGTGCTGGGGATTTAAAAGTGAGTGAACCACAGGACTCAGCTTTCGGAAGCTCTGAGGTGTAGCCAGGATTTCTGGGGGTACTGCCACAACTTTGCCATCGGGAGCCTGGGATGTATTTAGCAACTTGTGAGGTTTGGAACTGAGCTTTGAAATTAGTTCAGAGAAATAATGTCCATCAGCCTTTCCTGAAGGTTGTGCATGTACTTGAGGGAGGAAAAAGTAGCATCTCTGTGTTGTTGGCCATTTTTGGCTTAGCCCAAGGAGAAGGGAATAAAAACTTCAGTTTTAAGTAGAAAAGAGAGTTTTTATGTTTGTATTGTTTTTTCCCTCATACCTTGGGGATGTGAGTTTTTTTTTTTTTTTTTTTTTTTACCCTCGTAAACTATTAAAATCCTTTTCTGTAAATAAACATTATGGTCTCCATTGCCATAGCTATACAAATGGGCCCAGAAAGGGACAGCTTTTTATGGACTCAGTTCTTCAGGTGACTTGTTAACATATTAGACACTTCTTTTTGGCACAGTTTTCAGTGAAGGGCTGTGTGTTGAGTGGAGGTCAGTGGGGATGCCCCTGAATCCTCATCCTAGGATTGTTTGCTGAGCTGTGTGAAGCTGCTGACTTGTAGCAGTACTTTGGGGGTCTGGCTTCACATTTCTGTCCTTGGGCAAGTAATTGGCTTTAGTTTCTTACTTGTAAAATGACAGGCCAGGGATCTGACTGCTCTGCTTTGCACTTTAATGATTCTGTTTTCTCCAGTCTTCTTAGGCTGTTTTAAAGCTTGAATATCTTGGTACTTTCTCTTTGAACATTTCATTGGCAGGCACTGAATGTAAACGTTGGCTGGTGGTGGACAGATATATAATATATAATATATATTATATAATATAATTATGGAAATGAAAAATGGATGTGACTTTATTAATAAATATTTCCTATTCATTTACAGATCAGGTTTTTAGAAATTTCTAGCCTCAGATTTTCTCTTGATTCCTTCTCCTCCACAAATCTGCCCAGCTTCTCCTGCTGTGGTCATTCAAGGTGTGGTTGACCCTTGAACAGCTCAGATGTGGACTGTGTGGGTCTACGTGGATATTTTTCACCAGTAAATGCTACAGTACTGCAGGATTTGCAGTTGGTCTAATCCTCGAGTGTAGAACCTTGTATACTGAGGACCGACTACAAATTACACTCGGGATTTCGGCTACTCCTATGCTGATGCCCTGACCTCTGCGTTGTTCAAGGCTCAGCTGTATAGTCTGCAAAGCAGTTTGCAAAAATAAATGGCCATATTAAAAGGTTTAATTATTTTAACGCCTTTAGTCTGTGTTTTGAGCTATTTAGTGGCCAAAATCTACCCTGAAGTCCCATTTCTTTCTTTCTTTCTTTCTTTCTTGTGTTCCTGGCTTCAAGTTTATGAAGGGTGTACCCTACACTCTTGTTCAGTACAGTGTGTGTGTTGCCTGTCATACCTCGAGGAGGCCCCATCATTATGAGTCACAGGGAGTAGCTTGCTTTTTTTTTTTTTTTTTTTTGCTGGCAGTTTTGCTTATTATAGTAAAAAGAGAAAGATAACTTTCTAGGTTATGTAGTGACATATACACATCTGTCTTTTTCATCAGGTTGTTAGATCTTTAAGAGAAAAGACTATGCTTGTTTATTTTCTGTTTCCACTTCCCCCCATCTATTTTCCATGAAGTGATCTTTGTTTTCTGAATGTTGAGTTTTAAGCCAGCTTTTTCTCTCTCCTCATTCACCCTCATCAAGAGATTCTTTAGTTTCTTTTCACGTTCTGCCATTAGAGTGGTGTCATCTGCATATCTGAGGGTGTTGATATTTCTCCCAGCTATCTTAATTCCAGCTTGGGATTCATCCAGTCTGGCATTTCACACAATATACTCTGTGTATAAGTTAAATAAGCAGTGTGACAACATTACAGTCTTAATGTATTCCTTTCCCAATTTTGAACCAGTCTGTTGTTCCATGACTGGTTCTAAAGGTTGCTTCGTAACCTGCAAGGTTTCTCAGGAGGCAAGTAAGGTGGTGTGGTATTCCCATCTCTTTAAGCATTTTCCTCAGTTTGTTTGATCCACACAGTCAAAGGCTTTCACCTAATCAGTGAAGGAGATGTTTTTTTGTTTTTTGGAATTCCCTTGCTTTTTATATGATCCGGCAGATGTTGGCAATTTGATCTCTGGTTCCTCTGCCTTTTCTATATCCAGCTTGTACATCTGGAAGTTGCCAGTTCATGTTCTGTTGAAGCCTAGCTTGAAGGATTTTGAGCATTACCTTGCTAGTATGTGAAATGAACTAAGATCATGGCATCCAGTCCAATTAGTTCGTGGCAAATAGATGGGGAAAAAGTGGAAACAGTGGTAAATTTTATTTTCTTGGACTCCAAAATCACTGTAGATGGTGACTGCAGCCATGAAATTAAAAGATGCTTGCTCCGTACAAGGAAAGTGATGACAAACCTAGACACCCATATTAAAAAGCAGGGACATCACTTTACCGACCATAGTCAAAGCTGTGGTTTTTCCAGTAGTCATGTATGGCTGTGAGAGTTGGACCCTAAAGAAGCCTGGGTGCTGAAGAATGGATGCTTTTAAATTGTGGTGCTTGAGGAGACTTTTGAAAGTTCCTTGGACAGCAAGGAGCTCAAGCCAGTTAATCCTAAAGGAAATCAACCGTGAATATTCATTTGAAGGACTAATGTTGAAGCTCCAATACTTTGGCCACCTGATCCGAAGAGCTGACTCGGTGGAAAAGACCTTAATGCTGGGAAAGAAAGAGGACAAGAGGAGAAGGAGAGGATGAGATGGTTGGATGGTGTTACCAACTCAGTGAACATGAATCTGAGCAAGCTCGCGTGAAGGACAGGGAAGCCTGGTATGCTGCAGTTCATGGAGTCGCAGAGTTGGATACAACTTAGCGACTGAACAACAATAATTCCTTTGTTTTCTACCAACCTCCACTCTGACATTAAATTATCTAATAAATAAACCAATTCTACCCTTAATTCTTGGCTTCCCAGGTAGCTCAGTGGTAAAGAACCCACCCACCAATGCAGGAGATGCAGGAGACATGGGTTCAATCCCTGGGTCGGGAAGATCCTCTGGAGAAGGAAATGGCAGCCCACTGCAGTTTTCTTGCCTGTGAAATCCCATGGACCGTTTAGCCTGGCGAGCTAGTCCATGGGGTCGCAAAAGGTCGGACATGAATGAGCGACTAACACTTTACTTTCACCCTTTATTCTAGAAGAACTAGGAAAGGGTTTATAGTCTGGATATTTGATTTTCTCCGTCTGTGCTTCCTAAACACCAATCAAGAACAATCACATGTTCTTGTTCCACTATTTTGTTTACTTACTTGGGATACTTAAAAAATAACTGTATACTCTAAGCATGAAGATCTTTTAAAAAGTACTGTGAAGCAGTTTTCATGTGGGGGAGAAAAAAGTCTTTAAAAGCTGACCACAGAAGAAGTTTTTGGATATCCTTGTCAAAATGTTCATCTTCTGCTCCCTGTCTGCAAAGGTTACTGCCCTTTGACTTTATACGGAAGCTTTTTCAGTTCCCTGTACTTTTGTTTCCAGTTTCCCGAATCCCAGTGACATGGGAACTTGTGGTCGTAATGTAGTCGAAACTGCCAGATGGCTTTTATAAGTAGGATTCTTTAGGAGTTACCGGGTATTCCTTTTCTGCTATTTTCCCTTCTGTCTGGACATGTTCTCCATCAGCCATGTCTGTCTGGTTTGAGCTTCAACCTCCATCCTCTAGGTCCTGCCAGTTTTTCTCATGTGCTTGCCAGGTTCTTACCTCTGTGTAGAGAGACCCAATTCCCACTGCAGGGCACCGGTGGTTCTGTGCTATGTCCCAGCGATTCGGAGTTTTCCTGTTGGCTTCCCTCAGCTTTGCGTCCTCCGAAACTCTTCTGCGTTCCCTAGCAGCTTGCCACTTATTCCCAAGTGTCTGCGTACACTTTGTCGGTAACCATTGCTCACTGACTGTTGGAAACTAATACAGGCGCCAGAGAGCATCAGAGTCAGGTGCATTGTGTACAAACTCCAAGAAGTACTGGAGCTTGCTAAGGGTTGCAGTGGGGCAGTATCAGTTGGGAGAACTTAAAGTTGCTCTTTTTCTGAAAGTGGCAGCATGCAAGTATCAAATGGATACAGCAAAATGCTATGGATAATTTATAGAGCCCGTTCAAACTCTGGGGCTTCCTGGTGGCTCAGCTGGTGAAGAATCTGCCTGCCGATGCAGGAGACCCGCGTTCGATCCCTGGGTCAGAAAGATCCCCTGGAGAAGGAAATGGCGACCCACCCCAGTATTCTTTCCTGGAGAATCCCAAGGACAGACGAGCCTGGTGGGCTACAGTCCATGGGGTCACAGAGAGACAGACTCCACTGAAATGACTAAGCACGCAAAATGTCCTGTTTTATTCAATAGAATAAAAAGATTAACTGCAAGAGTTCATGTAAGAGTAAATGTTTGTATCATAAATTAAAAG